TTGGCTAGCTCTTTGGAGGAGCTTGATTTTGGTGCCTAGGAAGGCCTTGACTTGTATATCACGCATAGATACTGCAGGAAAAGCTACTTTAGGCTGTTGAATTACACGCTGCCGATCATCAAAGACGCGAAGTGTTCAGTTTTGAAAGGCTTGGTGCTCGATGGATATCGGTTTGGCGGACCTTTGACTGTAGAGTCTCAAGAGGATGTAAAATTGAAGGGGATGAAGATAGGAATGTACGATGAATGTGTCACACCCACGGATTACATCATCGTAAAAGGTCTAAGACGAGATACTGCACCAGACAACTCATATCAGTCTGGCGGCTTGATTAAATCTATAGATTAAGAAAATCATAAAGGGCTCAGTACAAATGAGTCACGTAATCCCAAGCGCGTTTTGGTACAAGGAATCGCTGGAAGTAGCCGACTGAGGAGCCTAAAACCCTACATATCATGAGTTTAGGCTTTGTGGACGCGGTGAACAACAACATACTAACGCGACTGAGATAAATCGAACGGATGGCAGAGGGTGGACTAGCGAGCTTAATCGCACACCACGGCGGATCAATTCGAAAATTGGAATACCACTGTGATGAAGCCATGTGTTCCCAGTCCCTTCACCCTTAAACCTCTCCACTCCTCCAGCTGCTGCCCCAAATGTCAGCATAACTGCATCAACATATCTCAGGGCGGATCTTTGCCAGTCGACGATCTGGAAAGATTGGCCAACATGCCTCACCTGCAAATCGCTGATCTGTTTTTCCGGACGTGAAGCAATTGCCAAGCCAAAGAAGAGGTTTTAGGTATTGTAACCAATTACATGTTGCCTCTAGGGTAGGATAGCTTGAAGAGTTGCAACGGTACTACAAAATACTAACTATTTAGCATCAACCGCACCGTCGCTGAAGATGTCTTGGATTTACTTCAAGAGCATAAGTAGAACAGAGAGATGCAAAAGGTTACGCTGTTGACGGGAGACTGGACTTCAGGGTAGAATGAAAGCTCTATTATGTCGTGCAAAAGGTCAGAGTGGCTTACACTGTCGAAGATAGTAAAGCCACCTGTAAATTTGAGTGTGTTCTCTACTATAAAAGTCTTTGAAGTAAAAATGATTGCAAGCTGAACTATAGCTGATGGTGCCAGTCAGGCATGAATCTTACTAATGACTAGCTATGGAACACGTCTAAAAGAAGATTAAGGGACGGGGAAAGCCGCTTTATAGAGGGCTGTGTAAGTGATGGATTGAGCGGAGAAAAGACACCAAGATGAAAGAGGGCAGGATCATTTATTGGTCATGGATGGCATGAAGATATAAGCAGTGTTTCAACACCGGGCTGGGCCCTGCTTAAAGCACACAGATTACGACCTGGCTTTCTGCATAGTCCCCTTTAACATCATCGGCATGTACGAAAAGCGGAATGACACATCAAAAACAAAATTAGTGTTTTGGACCCACACGATGCGGCACGCCTAGCATCGATCCGGACGATATATCTGCAACGTGTACTCAACTCCAGGCATCTACGAATCACAGTACCAGGCATCAGAACCGTTTCATACTCGATCACAAGAGGTCGCTTTTACAGTCTAATGCTGGCAAATTTTCAAGGCTATATCAGTTGCTGAGGGCGCTTGTCAGAGACTTCACACCATCTGAACTTCATTGAATATCTGATGGCTTCGACTCGAATATTCTCCGGCATTAAAATGGCATATCATATGCTCACACTTGCTACGATTTCACATGGCACCAATGACATGAACGGTCCCGTATGGACACCCGGATCCCCGTGCCCAACATCGATCACCGCACAGATCGGCACTTCAGGTGGTGACTGGTGCGCGGACGAACCCGATGGGCCTTATTGTCGCTTTCCAAACACCACAATTATTCACACTGCTTTACTACATTGCCCCGCTGTGGAAGAACTAGACATCTACTTCGAAGTAGGAGGATGCACAGGCCCGGAAGTCGATCGCTGGAACCTACCTGTCGAACTTTTGGGGGAAGGGCAGAAGTACCCGCCACTCAAGCGATTGATATTGGACGGGTACTCCTTCGGGGGTATTTGGGAGAGAAAAGAAGAAGAAGAACAGGGTACGGATCTAAAGCTTTATGAAGACGAATGGGATGACTACGAAGCACGTTGGTCCCCAAATGCGTACATCGACGAAAAAAACGCATGGGTCGAAGAGAAACAAGCACGCGATGGGGAAAGTAAGACGAATCTCGACATGTGGATCGAAGCTATGGATTGGAGTCAGCTGAAGGAATTAAGTATCAACACGAGGCGAAGCGAGATGGCGGAGGTCGCCTCCAAGCTACCACAGCAGCTTATATCACTAGAAAGCTTACACTTGAACTCTCCCGCATTCATACAGGGTTTGAAAGAGCACACTGTCAAGAATCTCAAGTGGGTTGGTCAGACAAAGAAAGGGCAACTCGAACATATCCTTCAACTCCAGGGAAAGAGTTTGCAGAGTGCGGAGTACAGATGCGGCGAGGCCGTGTGCTCAGACTGGCCACAGCACGTGAATCTATCCGCGATTGGAGAGCTTGCACCGCAGCTGCAGCACATCAGCCTCAACATGCCGCGCGTCAACGGTACATGGCCTTTGAAAGAACTCGAAAGCTTGGCCAGTATACCATCACTCACATCTATGGAATTGTATTTCCGATTACAGTCTGATTGCGAACTATACGGGCAGTATCTCGGTCGCTGTCACAGATGTGGCAAGGCGTATCGAGAATGGAAGCACGAGAATTGGGAGACGGGACATTGCCTGGGCGAGCAGAGATACGCATCGCCCCTGTTGAATTCTACCACTGCGCAGGAAATGTTTACATACCTACGGCTTAACAAAGTTGGTGCTGAGCTTAGAGAGATAACATTCAAGGCTGGTGATTGGGCGGGACCGTACGATGGGCCATTACGTTTAGATATGTTTCTCGATGGCAAGTGGGTGAAAGTGACCTGCAAAGCAGATTCTGGGGGGGATTTGTGCGATTACGAAGACCAGTACACCCAGGGAACGGAAGACCTATGGTAAAGGTTCCAATAAATCCATAATATTTGCGCTAGCTTCATTCAATTTAGAGGTTTGAAAGATATTTAGACCATTCGAATATATCTTTTAGAGGAAATCCTAAGAATAAGTATACCCTATTACAGTTACTATATAAGCGTAGTTCAATGTTTAAGCTACTCATAATAGAGTAACAATGAAAGGATGATATTGTAATAGAGTTTTTAACTATCAGTCACGTCATTTTCCACTCTCTAAATCATTCTATGCGAGTCTTTACAATACAAGGTCTGAACAATTTAGTACTATAGCGATAGACGCTTGTTCAAGGTTACGAGTTCTAACAACGAAATATATGGATTAAAGTTCTACGACAGAGTGAAACAATCTCTAATATCTCCTCCATGAACACCAGGTGGTGTAATACCCCAAGGCTCAACCTCTGACTCCGACTCCTCTCTGTATTCCACCAAAGTCGAAACGAACGGGATCGGGACCTTCGCTAGCCTATTTAGCCAATCATCTTTGGATAAGAGAGGTGCAGAATAGACAAGATCTATGCCGTTAGGTCTGAGAAGATGATCTTGAACGTTATCCATGCGGTCCCATAGATATCCGCCACTCTCCGTCTCTCCATAGTTATCAGGGCAGAAATCTATCTGGACAGTCTTGAGTGCACCCTTGCAAGCAATAGCATGCTTCCCAAGTTGTTCCATCCACTCTTCTTCTTTCTCTCCCAAGTCATTCCAAGACTTGCTATGCTGATCATAAATGCTAAAAGACCACCCGAAGAGCTTCAGTTCTGGTCCCAGTAACTTCGCAGTCTCCACGGTCAATGGTTTCAGTTCACTTGGAAAGCCCATCTGCCATCAAGATAATGTCAAGGATTCTAGATTAGGAAATATTGTTGCATCAAAGATATGCTTGTCTTCACCATCATTGCGAGAGAGGTAGCCGATGTCAATACTTAAGGGACTCGCTGTGGGATAAAAGCCACGCTTGGAAAGTGGGATAGTTCATCATCGACGAGTCGTTGTAGAAGCTATCGAGCCTGAAGTTTTTAAGCTGGGTGGGCCATTCGATGAGCGCAGCGGTAGGTTGCGGTGGTTCCTCGTAGTCTGATACGATGAGTAACGCGAAGGATGCGCTACGAAATGACTAGGTGATAGATTGTAATCTTTGTACACCTGGTATTGTTACTCTGGAAGTTTGTACGTACATTTGGGTCTAGTACAAGAGGCAATTCTCTCCATTCAGATAATCCATTCAGATCCGAGATTTGAAGCTTCAGGATCAGGGCATTTACAATAGGCTGAAGATGAAGCCCCGGAGCCACTCTACCCAGGTTTTAATGCTGTAAATTTTCCAACTTTTGCATCATCTTTTGGATCAGCTCCCATGTCTTCTGGTTTAATCTCTGGAATCCGCCATGACACTCGAAACATCTCACTCTGGTTAGCCATTTTACAAGGTCCTTGGCAATCGTCCAGTCCGTTGGCCGGTATTGATAGTCTGCAATGCCAAGAGAAAAACGCCTACAATGACGGCGAAGGGACGGGTTCTGCCGTAACACAAGATGCACCCGAATAGTGCTTTTTGGGGGGGGGGGCACTGTCGACGGTGTGCCATCAAATGATGTATTGTGGAAAAGCATTGGCTGGGCGATGCGGCAAGTTCGCCAATATACACATGATAGTGCTTTCGCGCATTTGGTATTTGGCCGGAAGTTGCAGTCAGAGCATCCATGCGAACGGTCAACTTGAAAAACGGCAAGCTCAACGATAGAGATCAGAAGCTCTTGAGAGAGTCTAGGTATAACCATAAGACCAGTCGCAAAGGGACTGCGGGTAGAGGGGCTCTCGGAAGAACGCTTTGGGACTGTATCTGGAAGTCTAAGATCGATGATAGCAAAGTCTCTCTTTGGAGATAGCCCAAGGTGCGTCTATCGAGTAGTTCGATTCTGTTTCTTCATCTCTCCTGAATAAACCACTCGTGATTCGCGGCTGATGACAAATGATTAACTAGAAAAACGTAGTGAACAGACCTCTCAGTGCAAAATGGCGGGGTCTGTGGGGCATGAGGCGATAGCGCCCCAAAATGAGATGAAAACCCTCAGTCAGTTTAGCGAGAAAGTAACCTCGGCAGTGCCTATATTCCTGCGCTGACTCGGCGGATTTTCAGGCAAGAGGGTAGTTATTTGATAACATCTAATAGTGCTATCATGATGTGGAAAGATATGGAGCAGAGCGAGGTGCCCCCCTCCGGGGATATACATCATCATGTGATACATTGTACTGAAGCAACGACCAACCATACTTTGTAGTAATGTTGGCACTCTGTTCAATGAACACGAATGAGACATCTACACTTCTCCAAGCGACTTCTCATAGAAAACGCTGTGTGTTGCATCAGTGTAGCTCCCGAACTTCCCTCGAGGGATAAACCCGCACTTCTCGTAGAACCGTCTGGCTCCTACCAGGAAGTCTCCAGTCTCTAATACCAACACAGACCATCCCCTTCCCCTCGCTTGCGCTTCGAGCTCCCCAAGTATCCGTTGCGCGATTGATGTGCCGTTTTCTATGACCCCTCGATGTGCTGGATCGACAAACATCCTTTTGATTTCAGCAGCACTGCCGTACCCCAGCCGAAAAAGATCTTGCAATGGTCGAAGGCCACCGCATCCCACTGGGACACCAGACAGATACGCGACAAGGAATATTGGCACGTTAGACGCGGTTGGAGGAGTGCCTGGATCATCGCCGCCGAGAGAGAGTATTTCGGCACGCTGTTTAGAGCGGAGATGGATACTGTCAGGATGGTCCCAAGATTGTAAAAGTATGGTAAGGTTATTAGCTTGGGACATGCTGCTTATATTGGAAAGGCGTAACGTCGTAGTAAGTCGATCTGAAGTCGATGTGTTGCTCAATACCTAGCAGCGATTTAAACAACGAGGCCTATATTTACTACCTGGTGAGTCATCGTCAAACTTATATAAGCTCTACTATCTAGTAGAGTAATGTGGGGACTGCACCGGAAAAAGGAACACTGTGCCGGAAAAGTAAACCTTAAGATTGTTTTGGGATTGTGGACGTAGTCATGCAGACAGTTGTCATTGAAATAGTCTCGCTGTTTATCTTTCCCTGTTCAGTCAAACACTTCGTATCGCTGTGCAGGCCGCAAGGTATGTAGAAACAAAAGTCAGGCCTTTCGGCGGCAATCAGATCACCTCTGACTCTCTGTTAATGAGCGCAGCGCTAGGATTTCTGTAAGTCTCTAGACTCATCACAGTACCGCGAGGCTTGCATTGACACGCGTGTGCTCTTCTTTTCTGTCATGTTCGCAACTATTTTCCCTAGTTAGCTGTAAGTGGCTGAAGAGTTTGCAACAGTCCCTCGTGAAACTCTAACGTGTCCGTGCACCTCATGCACGGATTCATCTCGTGCACGCCGAACACCAAACGCGCGTCTCAGCGTCATAACTTCAACGCGCTATAACTTAACAACTATGGCTCTAATTGACGATGCGATTGCAGATTTAGAGTCGCAAGAACCCGGAGAAAAACTTATATTAGCAGAGTTTGCGAGGAAATGGGGTGTCAGCCGCGCAACTCTATCGCGGAGGTGGAGGCGCGTGACAGGGCCTAGGAGCAATGGATACGCTNAGCAGCAAGCTATCAGCCCACAACAAGAGCTAGAGCTTGTGAGATATATCAAAACGCTCACAGAGAGAGGCCTTCCTCCTACGCGAGAGATGATTAGGAATTTCTCATCAGAAGTAGCCTATTAGCAGCTTAGCGAGAGCTGGGTTACTCGCTTCATCAACCGACACAAGATCCATCTTATCTCAAAGTGGACCAGCGCCATGGATCGTACGCGCCACCTGGCTGATTCTGAGTCAAAGTATAGACTCTACTTTGAGCTACTGCATCAAAAGATCACCGAATACTACCTTGAGGCTCGAGATATATACAATATAGACGAGAAAGGCTTCTTAATTGGCTTGATAGGTAGAAGCAAGAGGATCTTCAGCGGGCGCCAATGGGAGAAGAAGGAGGTTCGAGCATCTCTCTGGGATGGATCACGCGAGTTTCTGACAGTCCTGGCCTGCTGCTGCGCCAATGGGAGCTCGCTGCCTCCAAGCCTTATCTATGCAGCTGCAAATGGAGCCATACGGTCGAGTTGGGTGGAGGATATTAAGGCAGGAGAACATGAGGTCTTTGTCTCATCATCTCCAACAGGCTGGTCAAACAATGACGTAGGCCTAGCTTGGCTGGAGCAGGTGTTTGATCGCTATACAAAGCAGCGATCAGGGAGATGGCGATTGCTCATCCTTGATGGCCATGGATCTCATGTCACGATGGAGTTTATCAAGTACTGCGATCGCCATAGGATTCTCCTCATGATCCTTCCTCCCCATTCGACTCACACGCTCCAGCCGCTCGATGTAGTACTGTTCAAGCCACTCTCTTAAGCCTACTCTAATAAGCTCACTAACTATCTCTATAAGGCTTAAGGCCTCGTCCTAATTAAGAAAGGAGACTTCTTCCTACTCTTCTAGAGCGCCTGGATATCCTCCTTCACAGAGAGCCTTATATTGAAGGCCTTCGAAGCCACTGGGATCTGGCCGATGGATGCCAACGTTATCCTTTGGAGATTTGCCAG